TCTCTACATCCTCCTATGTAATATCTTGTATATATCTGTGGTCTGGTTCTCTGAGTCTCACTTTTTTTGATTAGTATCCCCACTCCTCATGTGAGAGACTTACTGAGACCCTGAATTCAATGATATAATGATTTATCACCCTTTGAAAGTTTCTTTCCTGTCTTAGCCTGGCAGCTGCAAGAGATTCAAAATACTTTTTTGATATACATAGGAAATACCTGAGTTTTCGTCTTAGTCTGGAATCAAGAATTTAGAGGTGGATCATGTAATTCTTTGTTTCCAACCCTTTTTCAGGTTCTCCAGGTCTCTCCCTGTTTCTGTGAGCTCTGTGATATCTTTCCAATAAATTTATTTTCCAACCAGAGTTAGTTTCTTGCTTACAACCAAGAACCCAGATAGTTAAAGACATCAGTATTAAGAGATGAATGTAGAAAACAGAACCTCAGAAACCTGTGAGACTAATAAATGGTTTAGATGGGTAAATCCCCTTAATTTGCAAAATGCTAATTAATTTCCAAAATATTCTTCAAATTTCAAAGGCAGTGACAACAGGTCCCCCAAATCCTCAATGGGAACTTCATTCTAGTGAACTTAGATAATAGTCATTTTGAAAATTAATTGGCATTTTGAAAATTGAGGCCTGTGTCTTTAGCTGTTTGGATTGTTGGTTGCAAACAAAAGAAAACAACTTTGGTCAGAAAAGGAATTTACTGGAAGAATATTGAAGGGCTCACAGAAACAGTAAGAGGCTCTAACAGCTTGAAACGAAGTGGGAATGAAGGCAACTCTAGAGAGCCAAGAACAAGAAGTCCAACCATTGTCTTTTTTAATTTAATTTTTATTAAGTTAATGATAGGTTATAATCTTGTGAAATTTCAGTTGTACATTATTGTTTGTCAGTCATGTTGTAGGTGTACCCCTTCACCCTTTGTGCCTACCCCCCACCCCCCTTGCCCCTGGTAGCCACTAATCTGTTCTCTTTCTCTACATTTTTAAATTCCTCATATGAGTGGAGTCATACAGAGATTGTCCTTCTCTATCTGGCTTATTTCACGTAACATAATTCCCTCAAGGTCCATCCATGTTGTTGCAAATGGACGATTTTGTTCTTTTTTATGGCTAAGTAGTATTCCATTGTATGTATATACCACATCTTCTTTATCCAGTCATCTGTTGATGGGCACTTAGGTTGCTTCCATGACTTGGCTATTGTAAATAATGCTGCAGTGAACATTGGGGTGCATGGGATTTTTGGAATTGCTGACTTTAAACTCTTTGGATAGATACCCAGTAGTGGGATAGCTGGCTTGTATGGTAGTTCTATTTTTAATTTTTTGAGGAATCTCCATACTGTTTTCCATAGTAGCTGCACCAGTTTGCATTCCCACTAGCAGTGTATGAGGGTTCCTTTTTCTCCACAACCTCTCCAACATTTGTTACTATTTGTTTTAGTTATTTTTGTCATTCTAATGGGTGTAAGGTGATATCTTAGTGTAGTTTGGATTTGCATTTCCCTGATGATCAGCGATGATGAACATCTTTTCATGTGCCTGTTGGCCATCCATATATCTTCTTTGGAGAAATGTCTGTTCATGTCTCCTGTCCATTTTTTCATCGGGTTGTTTGATTTTTTGTTGTTGAGTTGTGTGAGTTCTTTATATACTATGGATATTAAGCCTTTGTTGGATGTATGACTTGCAAATATTTTTTCCCAGTTAGTCCGACCATCATCTTTTATCAGGATTGGATTGGCGACAATGCCAACAGTTCTTTCCACTGCTCTTGCAGGACACCATTGCCACTAGACACTGCTGCCACCACCACTACAATCACTAGAAACCACTCTAGCTGCCGTGAATGAATCCTGAGCCCTTCTTTGTCTTTGCATTTTTCTCTTCATGTTCAAAGTCTTGAGTTGATTACACACAGTATGCTGGCTACTGGTTTTCATAGAGTGAGAGGAGTCTTCTGTAAACAGAGGCTAGGCATTATGTAGGAGGCTGGTCACTTCTATGATGGGAATTGTAGTCATTTGGCCCACTTAGATGCAATGTGGAAGTCTTCCTTTCTAATTTGTATGCCTTTTCTTTTTCCTGCTTTATGGCACCCACTGGGCCTCTAATACTGTATTTAATAGTATTGGTGAGAGTGAACACCGTTATCTCCTTCCTGGTCCAGAGGAAAGCGTTAAGTCTTTCACCATTAAGTGTGGTATTAGATCTAGGATTTTCATAGGGGCCCTTAATCAAGTTGAGGACGTTCCTGTCTATTGCTCACTTGCTGAGAGTTTTGATCATAAATGGATGTTGAATTTTGTCAAGTGCTTTTTCTGCATCTATTGAGATGATTGTGTGTGTTTTTTTCATTGTTTGCTAATATGAATTATATTGATTTTTGAATGTTGGACAAATTTTGAATTACTTGGTCATGATGTATTATGCTTTTTATATATTGCTGAATTCTATTTGCCAGTATTTTGTAAGAGTTTTAAGTTGGTGTTCATGAGGGATATTGATCTGATGAATCCCTTGACTGATTTTGGTATCAAGGTAATGCTGGCTTCCTGAAACTAGTTGAAAAGTGTTCTATCCTCTTCTATATTCTGAAAGAAATTGTATGGAATTGGTACTAATTCTTTCTCAAATACTTGGTAGCATCATCATTGAAGCCATCTGGGCCTGGAGTTTTCTTTGTATGACGATTTTAAACTATGAATGCAGTTTCTTTAACAGATATAGTGCTATTTAAGTATTGGTTTCTGCTTGAATAATCTTAGGCAGTTTGTATCTTCCCAGAAGTTTATCCATTTCATCCAAGGTATTGAATTTATTGGCTTAAAGTCATTTTTAATTCCCTTATTATCTTTTTAATGTTTGTAGGATCTGTAATGATATCCCTTCTCTCATTCCTGATATTGGTAATTTGTGACTTTTTCTCCTTATTTTTCTTAATCACTCTAACCAGAAACTTATTTTATTCTCTTTTCAAAGAATCAGCTTTCGATTTTATTAGTTTTCTTTCTTGTTTGTTCATTTTCAATTCATTGATTCTTGTTTCTTTATTATTTCCTTCCGTCTGTTTATCTGGGGTCTAATTTACTTTTCTTTTTTTAGTTTTTTAAGGTAGAAGCTTAGATCATTGATTTCTTCTTTTCTAATATGAGCATTTAATGCTGTTAATTTCTCTCAAAGCACTGCTTTAGCTACTTCTCACAAATATTGATACGTTTCATTCAGTTCAAAATATTTTATAATTCTTTTTTTCTTCTTCTTTAACCCATGGATTGTTTAATTTCCAGATATTTGTGGATCTTCCAGATAGCTTTCTCTTATTTTTTTATTTTATTTTTTATTTTTTAGTTTATTTTTTTTAAAGATTTTATTTTTCCTTTTTCTCCCCAAATCCACCCAGTACATAGTTGTGTATTTTAGTTGTGTGTCCTTCCAGTTGTGGCATGTGGGACGCTGCCTCAGCATGGCCTGATGAGCGGTGCCATGTCCGCGCCCAGGATCCGAACGTGTGAAACCCTGGGCCGCTGAAGCGGAGTGCATAAACTTAGCCACTCGGCCACAGGGCCAGCCTCCTGTTATTTTTTTCCTTGTATTTTTGCTGTCTTTGGCTTTTTGTTGTGCTTCCTGGGAGATCACCACCTAAGTTTGGGGAGAAGGCACTGGTCTGAGTCCACATTGTATGTGAGGAGTCTACAGGCTACCTAGAGTCCACAGGTCAACCCACAGGGTACCGAGAGCCTATGCTGGTGGGCAGGCGTATGTGTCAACTGTGGGCTGGTCTCTCTTGGCTGGTGTGTGAGAAATGGGGCTAGCCCTGCTGCCACCACTGCCATGTTCTAGTAGCACGGCTAAAGATGAGAATTTGTTAAAAGTCTGCATCTGAGGCAACCACATTCCCAGTCTCCCTCTACCACTGTGCACCTAAGAACTCTGGCAGCCAGGCATCTACCTTTAGGAAGGAAACAGAATCTTCTTCAAAGAAATTGAATGGCCCCAGTGAAGGCCCTAATGCCAGAGCTAAACTCCTTGCAGGAATAGCTGAGGGTGGATTCCTAGATCACGCTGGTGGATGAATAGACCTGCACAACAGAGGGGGTGTCCATCTTTGCTCTCCCCAACACCCTCTACAAAGGCAGTTCTTTCGAGACTCATATCACATTTCCTATTGACTGTCTGTATCTAACACACAACTTTAGACTTGTGGTCTGTATGTGGCATGCCAATACTTACGAGAATGGAGAGCTATCATTTTTGATGTATGTGTAGATAACCCACAGATAAAGAGTGAGATCTGCCCTCTAAGAGGTGGAGCCCCACTCATGATGTCAAGACTATCTTATTAAATGCCCTTTTAAATGCAATTTTGCTTTTAGTGGACCAGTACCCTACAATGTGAATGGTACTTTGCTGGGTGACTGGATTACAGATAATTTTAGCTTTCTTCTTGGTGCATTTCTATACTTTTCAACTTCTCTACAGTGAATATATATTACTTTTGTGTTTAGATAAAATATTTAAAAATATTAAGGTAGAAATTAGTAGGATTGTGAAATAAATATAAACATCAGATCTAATTAGTGAGCATGACTTAAGGAATAGGCACTCTGAAACTAATGATTTAACAGCAAACTGGGTTGATCAGAATTGTCTCTAAAGGTGTTTGCAAGAGAAAGAATTGAGAAAAGTTTTTAACAATATCAGTGTGACTTCTCTGTGAAAAACAGTTGTAGGGGTCCTAAGAAAAGCCACCTGGCCCCATGCCCCAGGTCAGAATGCCTGAAGAAAGGTAAAATTACATTGTAGTCATGGATTTAATAGGACAAGAGTATCGTTGTCCTTCTGCTTGGCCCCCCAATCACTGGTAGTGGAGTTCCTGCTGGGGGAAGGACAGGGGGTTCGAAGACTTTCCGGGGTCACTTTTAGAGAGGAAACAGGTGCCGACATTTTACTTGTTCACTAACGAGTTGTTCCTCTCTGTCCTGTCCGCAGGCAGCTGGCTAAGAGTCTTGGGCAGGCTGGCGAAATCGAGCCTGAAACAGAAGGAATACTAACAGAGTATGGTGTGGATTTCTCTGATTTCTCTTCAGAAGTTCTAGAATGTCTCCCTCAAGGCCTGCCCTGGACAATTCCACCGGAGGAATTCAACAAGAGGAGAGATTTAAGGTAAATATCTGAAACTCTTTAAGAGTTAAACTTATAACTTATAACTTAACCTTCCTAGGAGCTGGGCTCAGATGTTGCCATCTTTTCACAAACATTCAAGTTCAGTTCAATTGAGAATTAAGTGCTCTGTACCAGAGGTCGGCAAATTATGGCCTGCAAGCTAAAGCCAGCCCATTGCCTGTTTATGTACAGCCTATGAGCTAAGAATGGTTTTTATATATTTAAATGCTTGAAAAAAGTCAGAAAAGAATAATCTTTCATGAAAATTATATGAAATTCAAATTTCAGCATCCACAAAGTTGCGTTGGAACATGGCCATGCTTAATTGGTTATATATTATCTATGGCTGTCTTTTTATACTACAAGAGCAGCAAAGACCATATGGCCTGAAAAGCCTAAGATAGTTGCTCTCTGAACTTTATGGAAAAAGTGTGCTGACCCCTATTCTAGACCATTCTAATTTCAAAAGGTACAGTTGCTACCCTCTTTTCTCATTGCTATGCCCCATAGGTCTGGTTGAATTAAGACAGTGTTATCTGGTTAGAAGAGCCTTCCTTTAAATGGGCCTCTTTGGGCACAGAGCAAAGGATTCAAGACTTCTCTGTGCTTGGAGCTTCATTTTAAAGCTTTACTTTTAGGTCTGGAATTTGTTGGAAAGTACTTTTGTGGTATTTTTATAACAACATCTTCTTTGAAGATGTTTCTTCATTGTGGGATGTTAGTTCTTTTCTGATATTTCTCTTCAGAATTTGGTTTCAGAACTGGCATTCATTTTGGATGCCACATGGAGATATTTAGAACCAAGAAACTCTTCATGCAACCCACTGAGGCTGTGGAAGGTTTTTTGCTAAGGTCATCCCGTGTCAGAGCCTTTTCTGCCACCCTTGTTTGCTGCATGCAGCTGAACTTATGATACCTTCAGCTCTTGGTGCCTGTTACTCCTCCTAGTTTGAGAATCCTTCTTCTGTGTTCCATCTTGCTATTGTGTCCTTTAGGAATTTGCTGCCTTTTTTGCCTTTCTTGTTGAGGGTAGGCAAGGAAAAGGAGATGACAGTCCCCTTTCCTTTTTGTTGGTAGCTCTGATAGAACACACATTGTATCTGAAGTCAGTTAACTCAAGTTGCTGTCCTAGCTTTCAGCAATAAGCACTCTTCACGGACCCTCCTGCCAGTGAGTAATCTTGTCAGGGGCTTTGAGATCTTGGGCCCATAAGCTTACTCTCTCTGAACCTTTGTTTTGTCATATACAAATTGAGGGGCTGGTTTTCAGACATCTTTTCTTAAATCTAGGACTCTATAAAACATTTTAATGAGAAAAGAAGGTCAAGATGAATGGCTGAACTTTATTGTTTGAAGTATAAGTTAGCATAGCCATTTCACAGTAGCTATCAACATTTCAAATGTACCTTTCTCCCAAAAACTCTACTTCCAGGAATCCATCTTCCTCAAAGAATTGTGCAAGAATATATACAAGAATGTTTGTTGCTGCTTTATTGTAGAAATAACACTGCTAATGTTTATCAATAAAGGAATGCTTAAATAGTGTAAGTCATATCAATAAAATAGCATTCCCTGCAGCTGCAAAAAGGAGTTAGATCCACGTGGACTGTCCTAAAAGGATGGCCATTGTATATTGCGAAGTGAAAGAATCAAGTTTCAGAGTAATATGAATGAGGCTATTTCTTTCTAAAGTAAAATAATATAAAAACTGTATAAATGTATATACACACATACATATATATGTACACATAAAAGTATACGTGCATAGGAAAAGGTCTGGAAGGAAATATATCGAACTGTCGACAGTGATTACCCATGCATGGAGTCTGTAGAGTAGTAGGAGTTAGATGATATTTTACTTTTCATTTTATAAATTGCCCTATTATTCAAATTATTTAAAAAAATAACCTTTAAAAATTATAAATGGGACTATCTGGAAAGAGAGGTGCGCAGCATTTCCTAGTCTGACTCAGCCTATAGATAAGCAGTCAGGCACTTCAGCAGTTATAGAGCCCAGCGTTGCTCTAGGTTCCCGTCTTATGTCTCCACCTTTTCTTTTTCTTTGGCCCCATTGCCTTCTTGGTTAGACCACAGAAGGTCTCTCTTAAAATATACCCATGTGTCCTGTGAAAGGATCCAAAGACACCGGGAGCTTATGGGATGCTCTCTGCTCTTAGCAGAGTAACAGGGATTTTTTTAAAAAAATCACTTTAACTTCCAAACACTTTCTCCTTACCTATTATCTCTAGGATTATGTTTCTAAAATTTGAGTCTGAGTTTTTTACGCCTTTGGCTTAAAATTTTCAACTGCTTCCTGATGCCGAAAGTAGTAATCTCTAAACTTCATTGAACATGCAGTCCCAATAACGTTTCCTTATTTTAAAATTATAAGTGTACTTACTGCTTTACTAGTTTATTAAGTACATTATAAACATACATAAAAATGGAAAACTGAGAATGAAATAAATTTTAAAATATTTTATTTTACTTAAAAAATGTATATAAAACTGTTCATGTTAATAATTTTACTTTTGGTGAAAGCAATGTGATTGAATAGTGTTTTTTTATTATTATGTTGTTTTAACAACTTGTGATACAGAAACTCAAAGGTCTGATTCTAAGTTTTGTATATTTTGGCACTTGATTTTGGTTTTAATGGTTATCATAACTGAAAAAGATGCCTCTTATCTTGGGAAGAAGTGAGCTGAGCTTACTAAATCATAAGACTCATTTTTCACTCCTCTTCACCAGTTATATTCAGATTCATTTTGAAATCCAGCTAATAAATTTCTCTCATAATGTCAGTTCTTGTGGACTAATTGAAAGGTACCACATTTTTAGGTTTTTAAAAAATAGGTTCATAATTCTTGGTTATTCTTCAGTTGGCATCTTTAAAAACTAGTTAGAGGGGCTGGCCCCGTGGCCGAGTGGTTGAGTTCATGCGCTCCGCTGCGGGCGGCCCAGTGTTTCGTTGGTTCGAATCCTGGGCGTGGACATGGCACTGCTCATCCGACCACGCTGGGGCAGCGTCCCACATGCCACAGCTGGAGGAACCCACAACGAGGAATACACAGCTGTGTACCGGGGGGCTTTGGGGAGAAGAAGGAAAAAATAAAATCTTTAAAAAAAAAAAAAAACTAGTTAGAAAGTTCTATTAGAAAGTTTAAGTGTATAGATAGGAGCAGTTTTGTAGTTTATACGTTTAGATCATTTTAGGCTCCCAAATTGTATAACAGTGGAAACATTTCAAAATATCCATTCTTAAAATTTTATCTTTAAAACTTGAGTTGGTATTTTATTTTATTTTCAAACAGCAGTAACTTTTTTTCTCATTGTTAAAATGTCACCTTTACCTTCAAGGGACAGATTAAGTGTGTTTAATTTTTTTTAAGTATCTGCTAGGTATCATGTGATGGACAGTCATTGTATTGAAATCATAATCTGGCTGATGATGAATTCATGTTAGGTGTAGAAGAAGAGTCAACTTTGCCATTTTCCTGGTGTTAGTAGTCTAAGTATTACTAGTTTAGCATTATCTTCAATTTGTATATCTTTGCAATAATCTTTTTTTAGCCACTTGCCTATTTTGTAAGGATTAGTTTAGCTAAAACGAGATAATTTCCATAAATCCGTGTGTTGGGCATGGGTAAATACCCATTGATCAGAGTTGGCTGAAAGCATAGGAATCAATGAGAGTGCCAAGGTCATTGTCTTTGTGTCCTGGAACACTGCCCCTTTCATCTCCACACTTCACCAGCTGACCCACAAACTGCGTGAGGGCACCCTGGTTAATTTATGTAGTCCTGGTTAATCTCTTATTTTTTACAATAAAAAATAAACATGAAGAGAAGTCCATAGTAGGCTGAAGTGTTTGGATCTAATTACCTTTTCCTTCTCTTTGGCTGGTCTTGGGATACATTTATTCAGTTTTTCAAGCAACACATATTTGTTGAACACCATCCATGGGCAGTGGGCATTCAACAATGACGAAAAATAGATGTGGTCTCTGTTTTTACGGAACTGTCTTGTGGCAGAAGAGCATGAATCAAATGTATTAAGCAATAGTCAAATATGGAATGGTAATAGAGGAGAGAGGTACTTGGTAGAAGAGTTTGTAATATTGTGATTTCTCCTGCTCAGAGGTCCAGTGCCTTCAAAGAGGTTTTATCATTATTAATTTTCCTAGGAATATCAAAAGAACTGGGAATGAGTCCCATGGCATGCTAAAAAACATGTGCTACAAATAAATACGTATACTGTAAACTCCTAAATAAAATCCTCTATGTCTTTTTTCTTTTTCTCCCTTCTTCTCCCCATACACATTCATTTACATATACTATTTATATATGTGTGTATACATCAAAAAATATGCCAGGCACCAGGTTAGCCACTAGAAATACAAAGGCAAGTAAGGCCCAGCCCTTGTTCTTCAGGACTTTATTGTTCCTCAGTGAGATAGTTTATACTCAAATAAATTATAGCAGAGTATGGCAAGTGCTCCTATATTCATATGAGCAGACTGCCACAGTCATTGGTGCTTGAGCTGAGGTCTGAGAAATGAGCAGGCATAGAAGGAACTAGAGTGACTAAAGTGGTCTTCATTTTAGTGATAGGCTGTGGCTGCAGAAAAGGTGATATGTTCCCTTAAGACTTCCAGATCCTTCTATAACAGGGCTCACAACTCCTCGGGTCTCGACCCGCCCTGCCGGGCCACCCTGCCGTGGAGCCTGCAGTGTTACTCTGGCTACGTAAGGACTTCTACATATCCGTTTAGGTTTGGTATTTGAACAATTATATTTGGAACAGAAAAGTTCCATCAATCTTTAAACCTCATAATCCAATTATGTCAGTAAAATTCCAGTTTTTTTAGTCCAGTGGAATTGGGGTAATATTTTGCAAACTGAAGTTGAGAGAAATAGTGTTTATTTTGAAAAGAAAAATGGTTGGTTAGCAATTTTCAAGAAGTAAGGCTGGTGTGAACTCCTAGGGGCGATGTGCCCC